CATTGAGTAACGTAACGGAATACGTTACAGAATACATTTTGGGGCATGTATTCTGTAATCTGTAATGGAATACATTTTAAAAGTAACCTTCCCAACACTGCTTACACTTGAGCGCTCCATCATGCGATCTAAAAATTGTCATATCTAGTACCAATGCTACAGTCAAAGCTTGAGAATAATGATTCCAAAAACCAGCAGGTAACATCTGTTAATGTGATTTCTGTGGTACGGGTGTTATAATGTTATCAAATCACTTTTATTGTCACATCACATGTGCTGGTACACTGGTGCAGCACATGTTACCATCAGTCCATGTGACTGAAAGCATGATGTGTTGCAGGAGAACCTGAACAAACTAATGGCCAACCTCAGGTCAACACATCCACACTTTGTCAGATGCATCATCCCAAATGAGACCAAGATACCAGGTAAAACAAACAGGAATAGACAACAAATAAAGAAAAACATTAGAACTGAAGTTACCCTGTGGGGAAAGTTACCTCTATCTGTTGTAGGAATCATGGATCACCATCTGGTCCTTCATCAGCTGCGATGCAACGGAGTGCTGGAAGGTATCCGGATCTGCAGGAAGGGATTCCCCAGCAGGATTCTGTATGGAGATTTCAGGCAAAGGTAACATGTAATTTGTTTGAAGAACCGCCTCGAGTTTTAGACTAAACCTCCACACGTGTGTGACAGATACAGGATTCTGAATGCCAGCGCGATCCCCGAGGGCCAGTTTATTGACAGCAAGAAGGCCTCCGAGAAGCTGCTGTCGTCCATTGACGTGGACCACGCCCAGTATAGATTCGGATACACAAAGGTATGTTTAAAAATATATATATTATATAATATTTCAGCTAAAATAATTTGAAATTGCTAGCAGGCAGCATAATGATGCCTCACAGAAGGTCCTGAGTTCAATTCCACCATCTGTGGGCCTATCTGTGTTTGCGTGGGTTCTCTCTGGGTAATCCGGCTTCCTCCCTCATTCCAAAGACATGCAGTTAGTGGGGTTAGGTTAATTGGAAACTCTAAATTGCCCATAGGTGCAAATGGTTGTCTGTCTCTGTGTGTTAGCCCTGCGACAGACTGGCAACCTGTCCAGGGTGCACCCCGCCTCTCGCCCTAAGACAGCCGGCTGGGCTCCAGCCCCCACGTCATCCTGACAAGGATACGCAGAAGAGAATGGATGGATAATTTGAAACTGAAGAGAAATCTTTCTCAACTTGCAGGTGTTTTTCAAAGCCGGCCTTTTGGGTCTTCTGGAGGAGATGCGGGACGAGCGTCTAGCTGTGCTGATGACTCGAATCCAGGCTGTAGCCAGAGGTTACGTCACCAGGCTGAGGTTAAAGGAGATGATGAAGAAAAGGTCTGGCACTTTTTTTTCTCTTTT